GTGCAGCAGGGACACTGGAGTCACCAGGGCTATTGGTGTTACTGGGGACATTGGGGTCATGAGTGTCACCAGTGTCAATGGTTACCCCCAGTGACAATGGGGTAACCATTGACACTGGAGGTCACCACGCTGTGGCTCTCCAGCAGCCCCTGTGATGTCAGATACCTGTGGGGACATTGGAGACAATTGGGTCACCCTGGGGACACCATGGCAGTGGATGCAGTGGGGACACCAGCAACACGAGGGAAACCAAGAGCAACAGGGACACTAGGGACACTGAGATCAGTGGGAGTGTGGAGTGGCCCTGGGACACATTCCCACAGCTGAGGATGGCAGCACTGGCAGGGACGTGGGGACACCGGGGGCGCAGGGACAGGATGGGCACTGGTGACCCTGTGGACAGACTAGGCCCCAGGGTCAGCAGTGTCACCAGTGACAGTGACGCAGGAGACATTGGGGACGTCCAGGCACTGAGGCAGAGCAGTGACACTAGTGCGGTGCACTGCCAGAACTGGGAGAGGGCACTAGTGACAGCAGTGACCTCATAAGCCCCTTCCAGTATCCTCACCAACCCCTCCCAGTACTCTCAGTGACCCCACAGAACCCTCCCAGTACCCCCTCACCGGTGCCAGGCATCTCCAAAGAAGGACCAGGCGGCAGCGTTTTCCCCCACAGCCACCCCAGCACTCTCCACGTAGTCCCATGCGAGAGGCAGGACCCGCAGCAGCTCGGCCCCCCAGCGCTCTGGGGGCTCCCCTCGAGCCCCCAGTGCCCCAAAGAGGGCCACCGCCAATGCCCCGAGGTACCCTGTGGGGACAAGGTTTTCAGGGGGGGTGCTCCAGTGTCGCCTCCTCTTCTTTCCCCCCCTGCTTGGCACCCACCGGTGGGATGGTGGTGGGTCATGCGCCCACTTTCAATGCTCACTCGAATCAGCGTCGGCAGCTCCCAGGCATGCGGGTACCTGCATTGGCATCAGCCCAACTCCCACCCTCCCCTGCCCCCTCCTGTTTCTGTGTCCCCAGACTTGTCCCTATCCCCATCCCATGACCCTTTTCCCCTATGTTCTTGTTCCCTGCTGTCCCCATCCCTCCTGGCCCCACCACCTCCATGTCCCCCTCTCATCTGCTCTGTGACTCCTCTGACCCCTCCTCCCTATTGCTGTCCTCCTGTTCTCTGTCCCCTAGGGTTCCCTGTGCCCACTCCCCCAGCTCAGACATCCCTGACCACAGCTCTGGCACCACCATATCCCCAATCCCTGGTACTTGTCCTCTCCCACTCCAGCACCCCCATGTCCTCATCCCCCTCTGTGTCCCTGTTCCCCAAGCCCATGTCCCTGTGACCCTATCCCCATACTTCATGTTCCCTTCCCTCCACCTCTGACACCTGTCCCCCTATATCTGACAAGCCTTGTGTCCCCATCCCTGTCCTTTCCATGTCCCTGTCTTTTCCAGCTCTCACACTCCCATGTCTCCATCCCCATCTTGTCCCCATACGCCCACCATACCTCCATTTTCTCCACCACCATGCCCCCCTGCCGCTGTCCCTTCCCTTGTCCCTGTCCCTACCTGAGGCCGATGGCCAGGCTACGCATGGCGGCCCCTACCCGTGGCGCCCCCCCAGCCAGTGGCGGTGGGGTTGAAGGGGATGCGATAGCCCTCAGGCTCCCCAGGTCGCAGCTGTGAGGTGCCTGTGGGGGGTTGGGGGCGTGAGACCCCCTGACTACCCCTGACTCCCCCCAGACCCTCAGACCCCACTCACCCAGGATACTGGTGGGCCCTGGCTTTCGGCCCTCCATGTCACCCATGGCAGCCACGTAGCGGTGAGCCAGCTCCTGCAGGAGGGGTTCCCCCTCCAGGCCTGGGGTTTATTAGTAAGGACCTCCAAACGTGAGAGGAAGAAGAGGCCCCATGCACCCCCCAAAACTGAAGGGGAGGAGGGAGACCCCCATTGCACCATCCTCAAATGGTGGGCAAAGGGAACACCACTCTACAGACAATCCAAAACTGAGGGAAGGAAGACAACCCCCATAGACCCCCCCAAAAAGTGGAAGGAAAAGGA